ATTTCTTGGCAGAGATGAGTGAGTGCCTCCTGTGCCACCTCACTTTCTTGAAATATTTCAATTTTTATTCCATCAATTCCTAGTGCCTTGTTCTTCGTCAATTCCTTCAATGCACCTTGGACTTCCTCCTTCAGTATCATTGGCTCTTGATCATATGATACCTCTTGAAATGGTTGAACATGAACCATTTCCTTTTTGGTACAGTGACTCTGTGTATTCCTTCCATCTTCTCTTGATGCTTTCTGCATCTTCAATAATCTGGCCAGAGAATTTTTCAGTAACAAAAGTTGAGGCTTGAATTTTTTCTTCAGTACCCCCAGCTTGAGAAATGCTGACCATGTTCTTCCTTTTTGTTTTGATTCCAGATCTGCACATTTTGTTGTACTATTTGGCTTTATCTTCTTGAAATGATCTTTGAAATTTTCTGTTCAGCAGTTTGGAAGTCCTCATTTCTTCCATTTGCTTTAGCATCTCTACGCTGGAGAGCAAGTTTCAGTGTCTCTTCTGACATCCATTTTGACCTTTTCCTTCTTTCTTGTCTTCTTTATGACTTTTTGCTTTCTTTATGTATGACGTTCTTGAAGTCATCCCACAACTCTTCTGGTCTTCGGTCTTTAGTCTTTAATGTATCAAATCTGTTCTTCAGATGATCCCTAAATTCAGGTGGGATATATTCAAGGTCACATTTTGGCTCAAGTGGACTTGTTTTCATTTTCTTCCACTTCAGTTGGTCTATTCCACAGTCTGCCCCTGGCCTTGTGTTCATTGATGATATGGAGCTTTCCAATCGTCTCTTTCTGCAGATGTAGTCAATTTGATTTCTGTGTATTTCATCTGGTGAGGTCCATGTGTATAGTAGTCTCTTATGCTGTCTACAGAAGGTATTTGAAATGAACAAATCATTGATTTTGCAGAATTCTATCATGCGATCTCCAGCATCATTTCTATCACCAAGGCCATATTTTCCAACTACTGATCCTTCCTCTTTGCTCTCCCAACCTTTGCATTCCAATCACCAGTAATGATCAATATATCTTTGATTGCATGTTTGATCCATTTCAGACTGAAGAAGTTGGTAGAATTCTTCTATTTCATCCTCACTGGCTTTAGTGGTTGGTGCGTAAATTTGAATAACAGTGGTATTAACTGGTCTTCCCTGTAGGTGCATGGATGTTATCGTATCACAGACAGTGTTGTACCTCGTGACTGATCTAGATATGTTCTTTTTGACAACGAATGCAACACCATTCCTCTTCAATTTGTCATTCCCAGCATAGTAAACCATGTGGTCGTCAGATTCAAAAATGGCCAATACCAGTGCATTTCAGCTCACTAATACCTAAGATATCGATGTTTATGCATTCCATTTCATTTTTGAAAACTTCCAATTTTCCCAGATTCATACTTGGTACATTCCAAGTTCTGATTTTCAATGTATGTTTATAGCTGTTTTTCTTCATTTTGAGTTATGCCCTATCAGCAAATGAAGGTACCGCGGGCTTTTCTCCCACGGTCTTTACTCCATTCATGCCTTCCGACCTGAGGGGTTCATTTTCCAGCACTATATCTGACAGTATTTCTCTGGTTTTCAGTGATTAAATATTCGGAAGTGGTTCGTCATTCCTTTTTCCTAATCTGTCTTTGTACGGAAGCTCATCTGAAACCTGTCCACCATGCGTGACCCTGCTGGTATTTAAAATACTGGTGGCATAGCTTTCAGAATCACAGCAACTCACAGGCCACCACAGTATAACAAAGTGACAGACGAGTGGCTGGTAGTAGGTACCATCACGTCAGTACTGACTCATAGTAACCTAAGCACAACAGAACAAAAAGCTGCCTACACCATCTCACCATTGTTGCTACGCTTGAACCCATTGTTGCTGCCACTGTTGCATTCCGTTTCGTTGGGGGTCTTTCTCTTTTCACTGATCCTCCATTTTACCAAGCATGATGTCCTTCTCTAGCGACTGGTCCGTCCTAATATTATGTGTGAAGTACCAGAGACAGAGTCTGGACATCCTGGCTTGCAAGAAGCATTCTGACTGTACTTCTTCCGAGACAGATGTGTTTGTTCTCCTGGCAGTCCGTGGCACTTTTAATATTTTCCTCCAACACCATAACTCAAATATAGCAATACTTCTCTGGTTTTCCATATTAATTGTCCACTTTTTACATGCATATGAGGCTATTGGAAATACCATGGCTTGGGTCAGGCGTACCCAAGTTATCAAAATGACATCTTTGCCCTTAAATACTTTAAAGAGGTCTTGTACAACAGATTTGCCTAATGCAATTTGTCATTTGATTTCTTGACGGCTGCTTCCATGAGTGTTAATGGTTGATCTAAGCCAAATTAAGTTTTTGACAACTTTTTTCTTATTTATCTTGATGC